CTCCTAAGCAACTTTAAAACTTAAGCAACCAATGCATTGGATTTACGCTATTGTGTGCACACAAAGTCATTCATTAAGTAGCGCTACACATACCTTTGTTTCATTCATTCAGTTCATCACGGCTGCTCCTCAAGAAAGTCCAAAAATGATGCATGATGATCCACAAAGAAGCCATTTTTTGACAAATGTAGTGACACAAATGACCATTTTGTCACTTGAGGTGTTGTAGGGTTGTTTCTGACGCGTGAGAGCTCAACAAACGAATCATCCTCCAAATACTGCTTATCAGATTTATTTTTTGTACAGACAGTTCTTATGGTTCAATTTCCACTCACAGTCTGATATATAAATGCTCATAAAATCACATTGAATGCCTCAATAAAGCTCTTTCAAACACGGTCAAAAAATGTTGTGCTTCCCTCTAATTACACACCTGTTGTTCTAAGTCTTTGTCTACCTATATACTCCTCCAAACCCCCACTCCACCCAGTGGTCAAAAACAGCATTACAAAAAACATAATGGCTCTTACATATATATATATATATACGTATATATATACACACGTATATATATATATATATATATATATATATATATATATATATACACACAAGTATATATATATACATATATATATATATATACGTATATATATATATATACACAAGTATATATATATACATATATATGTATAATGTATATATATATATACATACACACACACACACACACAAGAAAACACACACACATATTTATATGACTTGAATTACTCTAAATTGGTCCCAATTATCATAAAAGGGCTTATTTAATCAATAGTCTTCCAGCAATAACACACCAATCAAGACTAACAGAGCTGTTAAATATCCGTTTTACCTCATTTATGATAGTAAAGTATAAAATCTTCTGTAAATAGACACATTAAGCCCATTTTATTGTTGTTAACAGCTTACAGACAAGATAATCATTGAATTTTTACTCTAAACAAAAACAAGAAATTAATATTCACATATTTGTGTATATTTGCCCAAGATTGAGTTACACAACAATCAAACATGTTAAAGTGAACACATTTAATAACAGAAACCAACAAAATAAGTCATCTAACTGAGCATGAGCATCCACTTTCAGCTTTATAACAAGACGTAAAAAGAAATCAACCACAGTATTCCAGATTGTTTGCGTTTTATTTTCAAATCTCAAGCTAATGTACGGTCAGCTCATGTGAATTTGACATGAAAACAAAATTAAGTTGACTGTGACGCCTTGCATATCTTCATGTGTTTGATTAGACTATCTGACCTCCTAAAACTCTTCTGACATGCAGGGCAGCAGTACGGCCTCTCTCCAGTGTGAATACTCTGGTGTTTCTTCATGCTTGAAGCCTGAGTGAAAGTCTTCTCACAATATGAGCACTTGTGAGGTTTTACCCCAGTGTGGGTAATTTGGTGGCTCTTCAGATGATCAGATCTATTAAAGCTCTTCCCACACTGCAAACACACATGATCTCTCTCGTCAGCGTGTGTCTTCTGGTGCTGTTTAAATTGATCCAAACGTGTAAATCTCTTCTCGCATAACAGACATGCATAAGGCCTCTCATTTGTGTGCATTATCATGTGTCTTTTTAGGCTTGGCGATGAGCTAAAGTCATGACCGCACTCAGCACAGATGAACTCTCCGGTGTGAACTCGCTCGTGTTTTCTCATGGTCGCGGACAGACTGAAGCTCTTCTCACAATACGAACACTTGTACGGTTTTTCAGTGTGACCTCTTTGGTGCAGTTTTAGACTATAAGCTCTAGAAAAGCTCTTCCCACACTCCAAACACACATGATGTCCCGTTTCCGTGAGGGTTTCCTGCTGGTGCTGTTCACAATCGTCGATCAACGTGCCACATCGTTGAGGAGTCTGCAGCTTTCTGGCGTTTCTTCTCTTCGTTTTAAAGTCGCAGTGTTTGTCCTGTTCATTCGGCTCTTGTCTCTCCACTCCATATTCATTCTGGTCTAAATAAACATTATCAGTCAGTAAATATCATGAATCATAATTAAAGCGCGCATTAACAATCAGCGAATCTGCCGATCAGAAATATTGTAACCTCAACAGCCAATAACGAAGATTTAATAGTAGACACCAACCTGTTTGTTCGTCAGTTTCTCCATTATTATTTCTGGATGGCTCTGGATCTCGCAGATATTCGTTTTCCTTTTTAATAAACTCCATCTTTATCATAGTTCATCGCAGATTTGAGCTGCTACACCTGAAGTTTCTCCTAAGTGAACGACGCTGATCCCAGATCATTCGCCGAACTAACGTCATCCGTTTCACCTGTAACGTTTGGTTGTTAATCCCTCCCTCAGTATCCACCTGCAGACCCGCACACAGGAATATGGGGTTCCATTTGTGCCAAAATTTCCTTGCCTGCTAACACCCCATTCCCAACGCTTCCCATTCACTTTAAATGGGTGACGTCAGGCGTTGCCGAACTGCATTGTGGATCCGTCGGCGCCGCTTCAGAGGCGTTAAGCCTGATTTATACTTCTGCGTCAGGTGACCGGCATAACCCATGGCGCAAGCATTAACACTTCCGAAACGCTATTTGGCAGTGAAGTGTAAATGTTCCTCTGTGTCGAGTTTCTTCGCTACTTTTTTGCTTTTCCTGAACACTTCCGGGATGTACAAGTGGCTAAAACTCGCTCATTTCGAGGCAGGAACCGGCGGACGTGCAACAACTTTAACTATGAGGTAAACACAAAACAAAACTTTCCATCCGGAGCTCCTTCACGGGACTCCACACTTGTAAACAATCGCTCGCGCTGCGTCGCGCCATTCGCACAGCTCTCGGTCCCGCCCAGACTCGTCAGCGCTACCAAGCCGACCAATCACAGAGCTTACGCTTCGCGTCGTTGCGACGTGTAGTTACATTTTTTGAGAGGTGCACGTCAGTGACGGCGAAGGGCTATGCGTCAGCGACGTAGCATACGCCGGTGTTTGACGCAGAAGTATAAATCAGCCTTTACTCGCTGCAGAAGTTGGGACTAGCTCAACTTTTCAACTGCCGACGGAAGCGTCAGCCAATCAGATCGCTGTATGAAAATACACCAGCTAGACCGTGGCTGCGTCCGAAACCGCATACTTCCATACTATATAGTATGCTCAAATCAGTATGCGAGCCGAGTAGTATGTTCGAATTCATAGAATTCGAAAATCTGTATGCGAGAAGTACCTGGATGACTTAAGGCTGATTTATACTTCTGCGTCAAACGCCGGCGTATGCTACGACGCTGATGCATAGCCCTTCGCCGTGGCCTATTGCTGACTGAATTTCATTGACTGACGCCTCTATGACGATCGCTTCAGCCCCAACTTCACACACGCCTTCAGTCAAGAGTTGACGCTGAAGCCCCGTGTGAAAGGGGCGTTACTGCTTCTGCTTCTGTACTTACTACTTTCTGTACTTCCCATTTGTATGCCTTTTAACATTGGGATGTAAAAGTAAGGGATATGCCAGCCATAATAAGGGATCCATAATACACGTCCCCCCCCACCCCCCTTTAAAAAATCCCCAAATTACTAAATATGTTCATTTGGAGCGGTTTCATTGTAAATAAACAGTTAAATTGTCAGTAATACGATTTATTATTATTATTTACAAAATAAAAAATAAAATGAATATCCACATTAGCTGCAAATACATTAGCAAACAGTTGAGTTTATTAAAATAAATAGCTATTATAATGAAAAAGAATCAAGCTATAAATCTCATTAACCTTTTATTCACTGTATAACTCACACATTCTGATTAAAGAGCAGCGACTGAATCTTTTATTTATTTTAGATGTTTTTTGTTTGATTACATTAAATAACAGGTGTCACTTTATAAATGCACACATCTAACATTATAATGAAGGCATTTGACTGCTTTCCTAATTGTTTATGCTTAATTAAGACGAAATTAGTTGTGTTTGAAAAACAAAAAACACCAAGATCGACATCTTGAGATATTATTATTATAATAATTATGTATATATGTCTGTTTAAACACGCACCCAAAACCCAGACTTTTGCTCCTCTCCAAATCACATGTCCAGAATCTGTTTGGTATCAAGTATGATGGCTGATTCATACTTCTGCGTCAAGTGATCGGCGTGACCCACGGTGCATGCAACGCGCGTAGCTGTGCATTTATACTTCTGCGCGCTGTTTCTGTTGTTCTGCAATTACAATTCTGAAACGCTAGCTGGCAGTGAGGTGTTTGCGTTCCTCTGTGTCGAGTTTCTTTGCTGGTGTTTTGTTTTTCCTGAACACTTCCTGGATGTACAAGTGGCTCAAACTCGCTCATTTTAAGGCAGGAACTGGCAGACGTGCAGCAACTTTAACCATGAGGTAAACATTTAACTTTCCATCCGGAGCTCCTTCACGGGACTCTACACTTTTAAATGTTACCCCACAAGTTCTACACCACCCAACCCGCTGCAAGCTGGTATCGAACCGGCAACCTTCCGCAAGGCAATCAGTTGCTCGAACAAGGAGTCTAAAGACCATGGCCTCTAGCATCTGTCACTAGAGCACGTTTAGAGGTCAGAGGAGTGAGTTTACCTGCACAGCACACACTAGCTGACCTCCGTTACATAAACAAACGCTCCAGCGGGCTCGGACGGCTCTCGGTCCCGCCCAGACTCATCATCGCTACCAAGCCGACCAATCACAGAGCTTGTGCTACATTTTTTGAGAGGTGCGCGTCAGCGACGCCCACGATGTAGGGCTATGTGTTAACACGTAGGCTGCGCCGCAGCATAAGCGTGCGCTTGACACAGAAGTATAAATCAGCCTTGAATGCACAGCTACGCACGTTGCATGCGCCGTGGGTCACTCCGATCACTTGACGCAGAAGTATAAACCAGGCTTAAGCTAAAGGAAAATTTAAGACATTTAAAGACCCCACGGAGACACTGTAATCGCCACATACTTGGGTAATAAACATCAGAAACATCTTAAAGGAACTCAATCAACATCACTAAATATTTTAATGAACAGCCCATAGTCATTTCATTTTGATGCATAATTACATTCAATTCAGAAGTTCGAAAAATATGCAAATATAAAATCTTTGATATAAAATGTAATAATACAAAATCAAATGCAAAAAAAAAAACAAATCAAAATCAAAAGAGAACCATAATGTGAAGCTTTAATATAAAATTGTATTATTCCATAAGCATGCTATCAAGGCAAGGCATGAAAAATCTGAACACAATAAAATAAAAACAAGTAAATAAATCACAAAAATTGTCGTTAATCAGACAACAACAACAACACAAAGTTTTCACTGCAGTTCTCAGATCGTTTCAACCTTTTCCTCATCTCAGTCAATGTTGTTGAATGAATTTGACACGAAAACTAGTTTATGTGACGAGACGACTTACATTTCTTCATATGATTGAGAAGATTTTCTAACCTTCTGAAACTCTTCTGACATGGAGGACAGCAATACCGCTGCTCTCCAGTGTGAATTCCTTCGTGTCTTTTTAGATGTGAAGACCGACAGAAACTCTTCTCACAGTATGAGCACTTGTGAGGTTTTTCTCCAGTGTGAATCCTCTGGTGAATTTTCAGATGGTCGACTCTTATAAAGCTCTTCCCACACTCCGAACACACATGATCTCTCTCGTCAGTGTGTGTTTTCTGGTGCTGTTTACAATGACCCAGACGTGAAAATCTCTTTTCACAGAACAGACATGCATAAGGCTTCTCATTTGTGTGAATTCTCATGTGTTGTTTTAAATCTGATGATAATCTAAAATCATGACCACACTGAGTACAGGTAAACGGCTTCTCTCCAGTGTGAATTCGCTCATGTACTCTCAAGTGTCCCGAACGACTGAAACTCTTCTCACAATATGAGCACTTGTAAGGTTTTTCTCCAGTGTGAATCATTTGATGCCGTTTCAGACCTCCAGCTCTAGTAAAGCTCTTCCCACACTGCAAACATTCATGATCTCTCTTGTCTTCATGTGTTTTCTGGTGCTGTTTATAACTGTCCAGCCGTGAGAAACTCTTTCCACATTCAGTACAGGTGTACGGTTTCTCTCCAGCGTGAGTCTTTCTGTGCATGTTCAGGTTGGCTTTTCTTCTGAAACTCTTTCCACACTGACGACAGCTGTGCAGATGTGTTGTTTTGGTTCTTTGTTTGTCTTTCTCTTCATTCAGGTCTTCTCTTTGCTCATTCACCTCCATCTGGTCTGCAAAAAAAATCAGAGTCAGTTCAGATAAACTCTGATTTAACATCTTAAGTAACAACTAAAGAGATCCCAAGTCTGTCTTAGTATCTGGCAGTATCTTATAGCCATTTCCACTGACTGGTACAATACGGGTCAGTGCGGGTCACCTTTATCAGGCTTGTGTTTCCACTGCATAAAGGGTACCCTTTTGATGGGCGTGGTGTACAACAGAAAGTTTGGGTCGACGTGATTCTCACTCGAGGAAGTAAAGCTGTGCAGGTCATTCACATATACAAGAAGCACTTCTCACAAATCAGACGCTTTACACATAAATACGTTCATGACGAACTTTTCTATGAACAGGATTTGATTATAACTGCAGATCAATGACAGTGTGAAATACTGTAACGTCTGCAATTATATAAAATAAATAAATAAATGCAACACATATGAACACATACAGACCCTTAACCCTGATTTATACTCGACGCGTCCACTTGTTCACTTGAGTGTGTTGCGAATGTCATCGCGGAGTTGGCGGAGGTTCGCTTTGGGTGCGCGGCATGATTTCGGCTGACGGTGCACAGGGCACTTTTTGAGACTCGAGCGAACAGTGCGCGTGGTGAAGTGGATTTTATACTCTTTAAAGTGTGAAGTTAATGTATATATTCTAGGGATGGGAAGATTAATCGATATGTATCGATACGCGGTCATGCGCGTGCACGATGCGAGTGCATCGGTTGAGCAGCAGAGGATGAATGAAATTTTGGAAGCAAATCGAGATGCATCGGTTTTTGCGAGATGCATCGATTTTTCCGAGATACAGCTTATATTTTTAATATAGAATGTATTTTTTATTTATTAACAAGTGTTGTCAACCTGTTTTTGGCGCATCATTTAATCGACCTACATAAAGAAAGCCTTAGCAACGGATTTGCGGATGTGTACTCTTACACTACAACTCAGTGTATCAGGTGTGCGGATGAAGCTAGTGGTGCGCCCTCAGAAAGCGCGAGAAGCAAAACAAACATTTTATTCCCCACTGAGTTTTAAATCTAAAGTATGGCAACATTATGGATTTAAGGATGGACGACATGACAGGACAGATGCAATTTGCAAAATGTGCCGCGCATTTGTAAAATACGCGGGCAGTACGACTAATCTGAAATCTCACTTGAAGCGGCGCCACGGTGTTGTTGTGAAAGCATCTTCTAGTGTTCCTGCATCCCCGGCTTTCGCACTGCTTCAACCAGCTCCAAAAGTGGTGAGAAAAGCATTGCAAGTTTTTTTTCCATGCGCAACAGTTCTGCTCGCTCTACGCCAATAACGAATGCTATTGCATTGTTCATCTGCAAAGATATTAAGCCTAGTGTCACGGAGAACGAAGGTTTTAAACACCTCCTCCTGTTAATTTTTATTTAATTATAATAATAATAATAATAATATTAATAATAATAATGATAAAAATAATTGGGTGTCACGGTGGCACAGTGGGTAGTTTGACCACCTCACAGCAAGAAGATTGCTGGTTTGTTATATTTTTATTAGCCTGTTGTTTACAGTGACAGTGTTGTTTCAAAGCAGCATAACACTGCTAGTTCACCACCTTAAGTTTTGAATAATCAGTGGCAAAATATCTTTGTAAAACTTGTTTTCATAGTAGAAAAGTTAAATCACAATTCTTGTTGTGCAATGGTAAACCTTTATGTTGAAAGAGTGCAAATATATATATTTTTTTAATATATATTGCACTTATACATTCTGTTTATCTTGAAAATACTTAAATAATATGTGCTACAGTATATGTTCTAAAATGGCCCTCTACTGTAAACTGACACTCTGGCTCTGAGAGAAGAGCCAGTTTGTAAAAAAAAGTCTTGGTTTTGCTTGGTTTATAAATAATCAAACTCATTCAATGGCACAGCATCCTCTTTCACATCATCTCATAAACTTGATCTAATTAGTTAGTGCTGAAATATCGCATCGTATCGTGATATGGGTGTGAATCGTATCGTGTTGCATCGCAATATGTCACAAATGTATCGCTAATATATCGGATCGTATTCTTTGTATCGAGATGCGTATCGGATCGGCATTATAGCTTAGATACCCAACCCTAATATATTCAAATTGTATGTGTATAATCTGCTTGTAGACTTGCATACCATTAAAACAATTAAAGTAAGGGAAAAAAAGATGACAGAGGTGGAATTTGGGGTCAAAGGTTAAACCAGGAGGGATCTTGTGTAATATATGTAGAAATAAGGGAAAAACACTTTTTGAGACTCGAGCGAACAGTGCGCGTGGCGCCGCAACGGATTCGAGTTGAATGTTAAACACTTTGAAGAGATTTTGTCTGAAACAGTACAACTTATGACCCGTAATTAGAAAGATAACCAGATAATCAATCATTCTTGCCTATAAATTGCAACAGCTGTGGGAAAGGAGAAAGTTTTTGTTAAAAGGTTTGGAAACACCTGAAGGATCAGTTTAATAAGCCAAAAGAGGCCACCATGGCAGAAGTGAGCCAGGTACACAATCACAAAATATGTTTTTCCTCCATTTATAGGGTTTGCACTGCTGTATTTTGTTTAATTTTGTATTTAAGACAGTTTAATAGTTACAAAACTATAATGAAGCCACAGAAGTATTTCTTTGATAACTGAAAAGGAATATTTAAACCTATCAGTTGATGGCCTGTTTCTCTGGGCTTTATTGGTGATAATGATCTGTAATGTTGGATCATCACTGCGTTTTTAGCATAAGAAGAGGACAGAAACTAGCCAGACAATAATATGTGAATTGTGGAGCGGGCTAAATCTAAAACATGCATGTATTTTTTAGTAAGTGTGGTTTTTTCGCTTATCTTTGGATAATAAAACATTTATTTGTAGAGAAACTCATGTTCTGTTGTCATTAATTACAGAATGTTTTTCCACCAGTCATAGCTTTAACACTGTTTTATATATTTGTGGAGCGGGCTAAATCTAAAAAAAAAATAATCTTTTTACAGATGGACACAAACCTGTGTGATCCTCTGCATCTTCATGATTCATTCTGGGTGTTTCTGGATCGCTCATGCTGTCCTTTTCCTCCTTAAACTGTTGTCTTTTGTGGTCATCAGTTTTACCTGGAGTATGAGATCAATATTGATAGTATTGATTGTATTCATTCATTGTCAGCCACTGAAGGTGTGAACTGCTGTCAGTGACTCATATAACAAACATTTTTCATCAACCATGAAATACCTCGTTTTCAAAGAAAGTTCTTGTCAAAAACGAGTAGACATCCACCGAAACCCTTTGCAGGTTCGTCGAATAATTATAAACACGACCCGATGTGAAAAGTCAAACAAACTTTCAACTCATTTAGCCCCGCTCCTCCTCCTCTGCGCATGCGCTGCTTCTTCCATTATTTGCTTGCTAAGCGCCAAATAGTGCCATCTACTGGACGTTTAAACACACTAATTAAAGTCAAATTCAAATGAAAGCAGTAAAATAATCCATTTAATTTCAATAAACTATCCAAATCTTTGTAATCCAGCTCACAAATTTGTTTACAGAACTATTACAAACTTAAACCTAGCACAATAACGTACTGTAGTACACGAGGTAATGTCATACCTTAACTTGCACAAGAAGAAAAGTGAAGTATATATCTAAACAACCTAATTATTTTAAATTCTTCGATAGAACACTGAGTAGTTAAAATAATTCTAATATTTTATGTACATGAGTTTTACCACATTTTAACGCCTATTCAGTTGTGACTGTCTACTTTCCCAGCATTCCTCTTCTCAATGTTTATAAAGTTAACCTGTATTTGCTGCACCTTTTATGATCTAAACAACATTTTACCCAAAATTGTTTATCTGTAGTAGTACACAATACTGTTCACATATACTTTCAGCCTATAATGTAGTGGCACACCTTTCGTGCACATGCTTATGTACCACATTTTGCAGCTAGTCCAACTACCAGTATTCAAAAAAGTGGGTCATAATAATGAATTGATTTGAATACTGTTTTGACTATTGTTGTTATCCATGAATTTTCAAATGTATATTTACAGTATTCGAAAAAACGTGATTAGGACCGATTCTTCTTTTTAAAAAAGGTTTACTGAAGATATGCAAAACAAAAAGTAGTGTAAAACTACATCCGAAGTGTATGTGGGTGAATGAGAGTGTGGGTGTTTCCCAGTGATGGGTTGCAGCTGGAAAGGCATCCGCTGCATAAAACATGTGCTGGATAAGTTGGCGGTTCATTCCGCAGTGGCAACCCAGATTAATAAAGTGACTAAGCTGAAGGAAAATGAATGAGTGAAAGTCACTCGATATAGCTCATTCAAAAAACTGTTGCTTCCAACATCAATAACTGCAATCTGACCTAAACGTACAAACTAATGACCTCATGACGTATTACAGTCGGAAGCCGAAAATACTAAAGTAAAAGTTTTTAAATTATATTAATTATTAAATTATGCATTTTAGATAATACAATAACTATGAATTCTTATTAAAATTCAATATCAGTTTTCACCATGTTTTAACCTTTTTAACAAAATTATCGTCATAAATGAATCATGCATAACTGGCTCTTACAATGGCCATATATTATAGAGACTGTAATGTAACATTGTCTATCTGTCAATATATACAGTTGAAGTCAGAATTATTAGGCCCCCTTTGATTTTTTTTTTCTTGGTTTTTAAATAGTTCCTGAATGATGTTTAACAGAGGAAAGACATTTTCACAGTATGTCTGATAATATTTTTTCTTATGGAGAAAGTCTTATTTGTTTTATTTTGGTTAGAATAAAAGCAGTTTTTAATTTTTTAAACACCATTTTAAGGACAAAATTATTTTGTTAAATAAAAACCAATTGGGTGCCCCCCCCCAGGCACCCCTCCCTTGAGACAAAATTATAATGCATGTGCAAACATCATTAACATCCCTGCTGAAAAATCCAGCTTAAACGGTTTTTTAGAGGTTTTAGAGGGGTTTTGGCCATTTCCAGGCTGGTTTCCAGCCATTTCCAGCCTGGTCTTAGCTGGTCAGGCTGGAAAATGACCAGTCAAATCCAGCTAAAACCAGCTTGACCAGCCTGGTTTAAGCTGGATATAGCTGGTTTTGGCTGGACTCCCAGCATGGCTAGGCTGGTCAAGCTGGTTTTAGCTGGTCATCTCCCAGCCTGACCAGCTAAGACCAGGCAGGAAATGGCTGGAAACCAGCCTGGAAGTGGCCAAAACCCCTCTAAAACCAGCCTGGTCAACCTGCTAAAACCAGCCTAGGCTGGTTGAAGCTGGATTTTTCAGCAGGGATATTACTTGCTGCATTTAAAGTGCGTTGCATTAACTACATTGAAACAAAAATACCTTACCTGATTCAGTGTGATGGCTGAGCCTGTTTCTGTGAGGACAACATGCTAATCTGTGGTTGTATTTCTAACATGTCTAACCATAAATAATCTTCCACCCTCGATTAATATGAGCCATAGCATGCTTATGATATATATACAAACAGAAAATGCTGCTTTGCAAAGCCAAGATCACAAAGCCCTGACGGTGTGGTTGAGTCGAACATTGAGTCGAACATGTTTACATGGGCAACAATACTTTAATACAATTTTAATACGATTATGCTATGATTAGAGTCTACCATGTAAACAGCAATTTTTGATGACCTTAATCTGACTAAAGTCATAACTGATCTAAACAGAAATGGAATTAAGACATGTGGAGTCTGCAGATATTAGTGGCGTTATTAAGACAAAGTTAAACTATAACCGTCATATGACTTTTCGCAGAATTTTGTGACAAGATCCACACACGGCTGTCAGCAAAGGACCGATACAGTTGACCACAGCATATTGCTTTTAAAAGTAAAAGCAATGAGTTTTGGAAACTTGGCCTCCCTGCTGAATAATCCAGCTTAAACCAACCTAAACTGGTTTGCTGGTTTTAGCTGGTTGACCAGCCTGGTTTTAGAGGGGTTTTGGCCATTTCCAGGCTGGTTTCCAGTAATTTCCAGCCTGGTCTTAGTTGGTCAGGCTGGAAAATGACCAGCCAAATCCAGCTAAAACCAGCTTGACCAGCCTGGTTTAAACTGGATATAGCTGGTTTTGGCTGGACTCCCAGCTTGGCTAGGCTGGTCAAGCTGGTTTTAGCTAGTCATCTCCCAGCCTGACCAGCTAAGACCAGGCTGGAAATGGCTGGAAACCAGCCTGGAAATGGCCAAAACCCCTCTAAAACCAGCCTGGTCGACCAGCTAAAACCAGCCAACCAGCCTAGGCTGGTTTAAGCTGGATTTTTCAGCAGGGCTGTAAATGAATAAAATCTTACTTTGAAAATAGAAGTCAAATAGTGGATTTAAATGGAGTAATATTAGATTATTCATCCTTCACTTATGGGGTTCCACAAGGCAGTGTTTTAGGTTTGTTGCTTTATTAAATATATATTAATGATTTGAAAATGGTTTATTCAAATAAGCTTTTGTTATATGCGGATGATGCAGCTATAATTGTGTCTCATGAGAGGAGTGAATTCATTGAAAACGAAATAAGTAAACAAATTGAGGAAGTCTCTGAGTGGTTTTGTCTTAATAAATTGTCCTTACATTTGGGTAAAACTCAATTTATTTTATTTGGTTCAGCTGCGAAATTAAGAAAATGTGTCGGGGCAAAGATAAAAGTAGGGGATCAAATTATTACTCCAAAACAGGTAGTGAAATACTTAGGTAGCATTTTAGATAGTATTTTGACAGGTGAAACGATGCTGTTATAGTCCATTCAAAAATTTGTTCTAGAATAAAGTTTTTAGCAAGACAGGCAGTGCTCCTAGATACCAAAACTCTAAAATTTTTAGCTAGTGCATTGGTGAAGCCATACTTTGACTACAGTGCAGCTTTTTGGTACAGCGGTAGTTCTAAAAAAATGAAAAATAAATTGCAGACAGCCCAAAATAAGTTGTGTAGAATTGTTATGAAAGTTTCTCCACTGACACATTTAAATAAGGAACATTATAGTCAAAGTGTTTTTTAAAAGTTGAGAAGAGGGTAAAGTTTTTAAAATTAGTGATGGTTTTCAAGATTTTAAAGAAAACGGTCCCAAAATATTTTCTTAATTATTATGTTTTAGTAAGCGTCATTCTACAAGAGCACCCAGCAGGGATATTTACCCATATAGATTCAAGAGTGAATCAGGGAGAAATTATTTTTTGTGTACGAGCTCTGCTGCTTGGGATATTTTGCCCACCATTTTTAAAGAGATTCAAATTGAGAGTGTTTTTAGAAGGGAAATTAAAAAGTGGTTGTTTTAAAGTTGAAGTTTTTTGTTGTGCCGAGTTGCTGAGCTGTTGATGTTTGCAATCCACTAATGATTTGCTCGTCCATTTTTTAAGAATATCGAGGACCACAATGGAAATAAGCCTGCGGCTTTTTTGTGTATTTTATCCTCGACAGTTTTTAAAATATGTATGAATTAGTCCAACTGGACTTGTTTGTATATTTTTTGGTAAAATTGTCAAATAAAATCAATCAATCAATACGCGCGCACACACACACACACATCACGAAATGTGGAGGGTTATTTTTCCTTTCCATTAAAACAACTCTCTTCCACCAGTCCTTACTTTATATTCGCATCTATTACGCCAGTTTGTCACGGGGGCGTGAATATGTTCATGACTGAAAAGGAAACTTAAAACAAACTGCAGTAAAGTCGAAAAATTAAAAATAAAACACGCAAAATTGGATGTTAATAGCGTGAACGTGAAGAGCCTGGTGACGGAACATTCAAAAAGCACTTCACGTAACACCTTAATTACATTAGTGTCTTATTCAGGCAAATAACTGATGTCCAAGTAAACACAGTCAGTAGTGTTTTCAAAGTGAAAGATCCAGAAGGGCACTTTTTTTGTCTGACGCTCAACGGTTTGACTTTCATCCACTGTCAGTCATTTTAAAAACACCTGCTCTATTTTATTTGTGTATATTTAACTGGAATGCATTAAGGTGCCTGATAGTTAGCTGACGTTAATCATATTCCCTCTAGTGAATGCATAAATATCGTCATCATAATTACGAGTGCACGCCTCAATGAAAATACACGGGGCTAATAATTCAGACTTCAACTGTATATATATATATTTATAATGTGACCCATTATAGTTAATTTTTTATATTTTACTACAAACCCGTTTTAACCATGACAACATTAAGATCCTGAATTAGTTTATTACACTTCATTCATTAATTTTCTTGTCGGCTTAGTCCCTTTATTAATCCGGGGTCGCCACAGCGGAATGAACCACCAACTTATCCAGCAAGTTTTTACGCAGCGGATGCCCTTCCAGCCGCAACCCATCTCTGGAAAACATCCACACACACATTCACACACACACTATGGACAATTTAGCCAACCCAATTCACCTGTAGCGCATGTCTTTGGACTGTGGGGGAAACCGGAGCACCCGGAGGAAACCCATACGAAGGCAGGGAGAACATGCAAACTCCACACAGAACCGCCAACTGAGCCGAAGTTCGAACCAGCGACCTTCTTGCTGTGAGGCGACAGTGATACCTACTGCCCCACTGTCTCGCCGTTTATTACTCTTAATCCTACAATTTTTTTTAGATTAGATTCAACCGTACAAGTACAAGGCAACGAAATGCAGTTTAGGTCTAACCAGCAGTGCAATAGCAGCAAGTGCAGGATACAGGTATATCAAGCACAGGATACAGGTATAGACGGTCTATTATGTTTTCTTTGTGTATGTGGATATTTGAATAAAGTCAAACGTCTTTTTTATTTATGTAATTAGAGTTCCAAAGCTGCACAGATGTTGTTTATTATTGTTTATTTTATTGAATATATCATTTGTGTAACCCTCTTGCTATTGTACAATAACAATAAAATCTGAGTATTAGTATTTCCTGCATCGCACCTCTATAAAACAATCGTGTGTAAATACAATGATTGTCATAACTTACAATGGCAGAGCATCAGCACGTTATAAACTTACTACAGACTGAAGCTGCAAATTCAGCTTTAAATCAAGGAAATAAACGACATGTTGAACTATATTCAATAGGAAATCAGTTTTACAGTATATTTAGATCAAATAAATGAAGCTAAAGCGAATTAAATCAATGTGCCTCATTCAGTCAGCTGTATATAATACACTGTATATTCCTGTCAAGTGTCTTAATCAGGATCAAGTGTTTCAGAACATTTCATCTGACAGAGATCAACTTTTGCTCTTCTCAAACAATGTTTCTGAATGAATTTGACATCTAAACTAGACGACGCTCACTGAGACCACTTACATTTCCTCATATGATTGAGAAGACTATTTGACCATCTAAAACTCTTCTGACATGGAGGACAGCAATACGGCTTCTCTCCAGTGTGAATTCGCTCGTGGTTTTTCAGATCTGAAGACTGAATGAAACTCTTCTCACAATATGAGCACTTGTGAGGTTTTTCTCCAGTGTGAATCATTTGGTGTCGTTTCAGATGGCCAGATTGAGTAAAGCTCTTCCCACACTCCAAACACACATGATCTCTCTCGTCAGTGTGTGTTTTCTGGTGCCGTTTACAATCACCCAGTTGTGAAAATCTCTTTTTACAGAACAGACATGCATAAGGCTTCTCATTTGTGTGAATTCTCATGTGTTGTTTTAAATTTGATGATGATCTAAAAGCATGACCACACTGAGTACAGGTAAACGGCTTCTCTCCAGTGTGAATTCGTTCATGTACTCTCAAGTTTCCTGAATGACTGAAACTCTTCTCACAATATGAGCACTTGTGAGGTTTTTCTCCAGTGTGAATCCTCTGGTGTCGTTTCAGATGACCAGCTCTAGTAAAGCTCTTCCCACACTGCAAACACTCATGATCTCTCTTGTCTTCATGTGTTTTCTGGTGCTGTTTATAACTGTCCAGCTGTGAGAAACTCTTTCCACATTCAGTACAGGTGTACGGTTTCTCTCCAGCGTGAGTCTTTCTGTGTTTTTTCAGCTTGGCTTTTCTTCTGAAACTCTTTCCACACTGACGACAGCTGTGCAGATGTGTTGTTTTAGTTCTCTGAGTCTCGAAGTTTCGTCTCTCGTCCTCTTCATTCAGTTCTTCTCTTTGCTCATTCTCCTCCATCTGGTCTGAAATAAAAATCAAGTCAGAATCAGTTCAAGTGAAGTCTGATCAGTGCCGGCCCATCCTACAGTCAATATAGGCGGTCACGTAGGGCCCCACGTTTCTTGGAGAGGCCCACAAACGCTGCTCTTATATTATATTTACTGTGAACGTAAGCACGAGGATGAGGGTAAATGTTAAAACCCTTAAGCGTCGCGCAATGCACAAACCCTCTTAAAGGCAAATGATTCACAAAGTCGGTGAGAAAACAAAACTTCCACATTTCATTGAAAGATTAACTCTCTATAATTCATACATGACAAAGAGCTGAAAACAATAATAAATACACAACAACAGTATGAATCAAAGCAGAAAATAACATACCCAGCAGCAACACACTCTATTTAGCATAACCCAGCCCGCGATCGACTGTTGGGTGAACTAGAATGATGAAACGTATTCCTACACAGACTCCACATATCTCTCCAAATTGCTCACGTTGGATATAAGGCCGAGAAAGTGTCTTAAAGTCTTAACTAATATAACGTCACAAGTGTCATTGCTAGTTTGAATTGATCTTAATCAAACTTTAATTTGAAATGAAATGGCATCCGAACCCGGAGCCGTGAAAAGGAAGAAAAGCGAGCTCAAAGTAAAGGCATGACCTGCTATGTGTAATACATTATTCAGTTTTGTGGTATTAGGACTTGTTTTAATGAATGCAACGATGCCCATGATCACAGGAATACTTGTGTAATATGTGAGACAAAAAAACTCAATTGAAAAAATAATAAATTATTTATCTTTCCACTAATTTATCCTGCTGGAAAAACAGGTTTCCCCCTCATTTAGTCAAAACTGAATTTTACCCACTGTCCAACATCTAATGCAGAGTTTAGTTTGTGTAAATCTCAAACAAGCTAAAATGTCTCCTGCATTTCCAGTTACAGTAGTTATGCATATATTTGTTACTCATTTACAAAAAATGCATTTGATTCATGTTTTATTTGTATGTCATATTATATAGTTTATTTTTTTAAATAAGTGTTTTTTGGCTTGCAAACTTGTTTTATTCTGAGTAAATATTTTTACATATGTATTATAGGTTAAATATGTTACAGTTAATAAAAATGTTTACACTGAAATATTAAAATTGTGATTTTTTTTGTGCTTAATTCTCACAGTTTTTACACCAGCCATGTTCATTTCTCTGATTTGTGACTCCATTATATTTTCCTTCCCTGATATTTTTACTCATGTTGACGGCAAATATTGACTTGTAATATTTTAATCATCAGTTTTAGCTACAAATATTTCTGTAAAGAAGAAAAACTCACCATCATGGATGAGCTGAGGGTGAGTAAATTTACAGCAGACTTTCATGGTTGGGTGAACTATCCCTTTAATTCCCTGAAAGTCTTTAATTCTATATACTGACTTTACTAACAGAACAGTTTAAACTTCTTAATAATACTTAAAGTAGCCTACTAGGCAAGTTTTCTGTGAAATATGTCAAATTTACAGGATAATTAACATAATCAGTAAATTAATACAAAAGTGATGCCATAGATCTATTGTTTTTATTAACACTATAAATACCTCTTTTTCCATGACGCTTCATGTTAGAAATGTGTTGACATCCATCGAAATCCTTCACAGCTTCGTCAATTAAACTTGATCACGTCCTGAAGCGAAGAGTCCAGCAAAACTAGCTGTCAGCACTTTCTGTTTTCGCGCGTCTCTTTCGCGGCTGCGCATGCGCTGTTTCTTCTTTCAGATTTGCGTGACGACAAGCGCCAAAACTCTAGTGATGGTGCCACACACTGGATATTGACATACACAGTAATTACGAATCATTTCAAATTAAGCCAGTAACCCATTTAATCATGACTTGAAGTTACTGTCATACACAACACGATCAGTTATTTCATTGTTTACTCTAATTATAGTGCTAATTATGTCCAGTTTAAATCTAAATCTTCACTACATCAGCAAATCTCCTCAAAAACAACAATGAAGAATCAATCATGGACACCAGACTTGTGCGCTCCTCGGTATCTTCACAGTTCATTCTGGATGTTCTGGATCATCAGATCATTAATGTAATGAAGCTTCTTCTGTACAATAATATTTCACACAGATCTCATAGTCTTCTTCATGTTGGGAATATATTCAGATTAATACTGTTTTGGATCGGGTTAATATATCATGTTATTTTTCAGATTATTGCTATCAAATGCTGTAATATTGTCTTTTACATCATCTACTTCATTACAAAAGTGTGGCATCAATTTATCCCCAAATTACAGTGTTTACACATATTAGAGAAACACAAAACCTTCTGCCATGTATAAAACTGACACTCTTGTCTTATTGAAACCCCCAAAACTTTTGATTCACAGTTTCTTGTTGTCCTGCTTCAGTTTTAATAGGATATTTTTAACAGCTGAATATAACAAACAAATATAGTATTTTACAGCATCTCTTGTTGAACTGCACAAACTAGTGAACAATCAGAACACAATCAACTGGACATTAGTGAATAAAAGACACGAGCATGGCTTATAAAACACATTAAAGAGAAGTTATTCATTATTATTCACACTGTAAGAGTTATCTGTGTGTCAAATATTAGTTTCTTCATCAGGAAATCAAGTTTTTCTCAAAGCATTTCAGCACAATGAGACCAACAACACAATATACTTGAACAAAACTGGCATGAAAACTTAACGGTGCTCAGAGTTATTGACTCATATTTTACAGCTTCTTCTTCAACTGCACACATTAGTGTAAAATCAAACACAAAGCAACCATCAGCAAATAAATTGTCTTTAATCGAACAGCAACAAAAGAAAGGGAAAGATTTAAATGATTTACTGCAGTTCTCAGAGCATTTCACCACACTGAGATCCTCTTCTGCTCAGTCAGTGTTCCTCAATGAATTTAACACTTAAACTAGACGACGCTCACTGAGACCACTTACATTTCCTCATGTGTTTGAGAAGACTTTCTGACCATCTAAAACTCTTCTGACATGGAGGACAGCAATACAGCCTCTCTCCAGTGTGAATTCGCTCGTGTGATTTCAGATGTGAAGACCAAATGAAACTCTTTTCACAATATGAGCACTTGTGAGGTTTTTCTCCAGTGTGAATCATTTGGTGCTGTTTCAGATGGCCAGATTGAGTAAAGCTTTTCCCACAGTCCAAACACACATGATCTCTCTCGCCAGTGTGTGTTTTCTGGTGCTGTTTACAACTACACAGATGTGAAAATCTCTTTTCACAGAACAGACATGCATAAGGCTTCTCATTTGTGTGAATTCTCATGTGTTGTTTTAGATTTGATGATGTTCTAAAATCATGACCACACTGAGTACAGGTAAACGGTTTTTCTCCAGTGTGAATTCGTTCATGTACTCTCAAGTGTCCTGATTGGCTGAAACTCTTCTCACAATATGAGCACTTGTGAGGTTTTTCTCCAGTGTGAATCCTCTGGTGGATTTTCAGATTACCAGCTGTAGTAAAACTCTTCCCACACTGCAAACACTCATGATCTCTCTTGTCTTCATGTGTTTTCTGGTGCTGTTTATAACTGTCCAGCTGTGAGAAACTCTTTCCACATTCAGTACAGGTGTACGGTTTCTCTCCAGCGTGAGTCTTTCTGTGTTTTTTCAGCTTGGCTTTTCTTCTGAAACTCTTTCCACACTGACGACAGCTGTGCAGATGTGTTGTTTTAGTTCTCTGAGTCTCGAAGTTTCGTCTCTCGTCCTCTTCATTCAGTTCTTCTCTTTGCTCATTCTCCTCCATCTGGTCTGAAATAAAAATCATGTCAGAATCAGTTCAAGTGAAGTCTGATCAGTGCCGGCCCATCCTACAGTCAATATAGGCGGTCACGTAGGGCCCCACATTTCTTGGACAGGCCCACAAACGCTGCTCTTATATTATATTGATTGTGAACATAAGCACAAGGGCGAGCGTAAATGTTAAAACCCTTAAGCGTCGCGCAATGCACAAACCCTCTTAAAGGCAAATGATTCACAAAGTCGGTGAGGAAACAAAACTTCCACATTTCATTAAAAGATTACCTCTCTATAATTCATACATGACAAAGAGCTGAAAACAATAATAAATACACAACAACAGTATGAATCAAAGCAGAAAATAACATACCCAGCAGCAACACACTCTATTTAGCATAACCCAGCCTGCGATCGGCTGTTGGGTGAACTAGAACAGTGGTTCCCAACCTTTTTCTTTGGGGCCCCCCCAATAAACATATACAAACATTGGAGCCCCCCACCATATAAATACACACGCACGCACGCACGCGCGCACGCACACACATATGTACTGTGTGTGTGTATATATATATATATATATATATATATATATATATATATATATATATATATATATATATATATATATATATGTGTGTGTGTGTGTGTGTGTGTGTTTGTGTAATATTAATATATAGTAATATGTATAGAAAATATTAATTAATCAGTTTTAACTTGTCTTGGCCTTCAATAAAACCAAAATTTAGGTAGGCTTTGTCATACTGTCTAATCTTTTTCTCCGCCTCTGAAGAATCACTGCATTTACGTTTCTCTGCCATTTTTGTTTTGATTTTGCCTTTACGATACGTTGACAAGCAGATTGCGCGAGTGAGCAAAATTTAAATAATTATTTAAAGTTATTTATTTTAATTATTTTCACTATTATGTTGGAATTTTAATCATGTGTTTAGATTATTTTTTATTTTTTTGGGCTGCTCGATTTTGGGAAAAATCATAATCCCGATTATTTTGGTCATAATTGTAATCACGATTATTCAAAACCATTGCCAGTTAAGGTCAAAATTATTAGCGCTCCTGAGATTTTTTTTTTTTTATAAATATTTCCCAAATTATGTTTAACAGAGCAAAGAATTTTAACAGTATTTCCTATAATATTTTTTCTTCTATTTGTTTTATTTTAGCTAGAATAAAGACAGGTTTAAATATTTTGAAACCAATTTAAGGTCAATATTATTAGCCCCCTTAAGCAATATATATTTTTGATTGTCTGCAGAATAAACTAGCGTTATAATGACTTGCCTTATTACTCTAATTAAGCCTTTGAACTGCACTTTAATCTGAATGCTTGTATTTTGAAAAATATCTAGTAAAATATTATGTGCTGTCATTATAGCAAAGACAAAAAGAAATCAGTAATTAGAAATGAGATATCAAAACTATTATGTTCAGAAATAAGTTAATAAAATATTCTTTCCATGAAACAGAAATTGGGCAGGAAAAGGTTTGCTTATATTCAAGAGGGCTAATAATTCTGACTTCAACTGTATACATACAGTTATTTTCCACCCTGCAAAGGAAAGAGAAATGAATACAATAGAATAAAAATATGAAACAAACTGTGCTTTAAGCATCTTCACTGTAAGAAAAACACTTTAGCTACAGCATTCCTTCAGTCAAGAGCAGCGAGGGTTTTCTCGTTATGTTTGTTTAATAATGATAAAAACAGGCGGCAGAAGAATAGCGCTGTATCTTTAATGGTTTCTCTTTCACGTCTTTTGATCCTCAACTCGTTTGTTTATTATACAAATGAGGGTTAATGTTAATAATCACTAAACACCGCGTTTTGACACCTATTTGACCATTAAAGAGTTTACGTTAAGATGACTTTAGATGTCTGCGCTCCTCTGCTCGTCTCAGTGTGCGAATGAGAGTGAATGCTGACCGGCTGCATGCTTCTTACTGCGTGATCGTGCTGCACACACACATAAGCTCTTTCGCGCTTTTAAGAGCAACACGTGTACAACTGTGGCGAAATATGATGCAATAATCATTTATCTCGATTAATGCTTTTTATAATCGTTTGAAACCGAAATCTAAATCGGATTTTCGATTAATTGCAAAGCCCTTTATAATAGTGGACCATTTTTATGCCTTTTTCTACCTCAATACTTATCCTCTCCCGCGCCCCCCCTGTGAACTCTGGCGCCCCCCTTAGGGGGGCGCGGACCCCAGGTTGGGAACCACTGAACTAGAATGACGAAACGTATTCCTACACAGACTCCACATATCTCTCCAAATTGCTCACGTCAGATATAAAGCCGAGAAAGTGTCTTAAAGTCTTAACTAATATAACGTCACAAGTGTCGTTGCTAGTTTTAATTGATCTTAATCAAACTTTAATTTGAAATGAAATGGCATCCAAACCCGGAGCCGAAAAAGGAAGAAAAGCAAGCTCAAAGTAAAGGCATGACCTGCTATGCGTAATACATTATTCAGTTTTGTGGTATTACGACTTGTTTTAATGAATGCAACGATGCCCATGATCACAGGAATACTTGTGTAAGATGTGAAACAAAAAAGCTCAATTGAAAAAATAATCAATTATTTATTTTTCCACTAATTTATCCTGCTGGAAAAACAGGTTTCCCCCTCATTTAGTCAAAATTTAATTTTACCCACTGTCCAACATCTAATGCAGAGTTTAGTCTGTGTAAATCTCAAACAAGCTAAAATGTCTCCTGCATTTCCAGTTACAGTAGTTATGCATATATTTGTTACTCATTTACAAAAAATGCATTTGATTCATGTTTTATTTGTATGTCATATTATGTAGTTTATTTTTTTTAATAAGTGTTTTCTGGCTTGCAAACTTGTTTTATTCTGAGTAAATATTTTTACATATGTATTATAGGTTAAATATGTTACAGTTAATAAAAATGTTTACACTGAAATATTAAAATTGTGATTTTTTTGTGCTTAATTCTCACAGTTTTTACACCAGCCATGATCATTTCTCTGATTTGTGACTCCATTATATTTTCCTTCCCTGATATTTTTACTCATGTTGACGGCAAATATTGACTTGTAATATTTTAATCATCAGTTTCAGCTACAAATATTTCTGTAAAGAAGAAAAACTCACCATCATGGATGAGCTGAGGGTGAGTAAATTTACAGCAGACTTTCATGGTTGGGTGAACTATCCCTTTAATTCCCTGAAAGTCTTTAATTCTATATACTGACTTTACTAACAGAACAGTTTAAACTTCTTAATAATACTTAAAGTAGCCTACTAGGCAAGTTTTCTGTGAAATATGTCAAATTTACAGGATAATTAACATAATCAGTAAATTAATACAAAAGTGATGCCATAGATCTATTGTTTTAACAACACTATAAATACCTCTTTTTCCAGGACGCTTCATGTTAGAAATGTGTCGACATCCATCGAAATCCTTCACAGCTTCGTCAATTAAACTTGAACACGTCCTGAAGCGAAGAGTCCAGCAAAACTAGCTGTCAGCACTTGTTGTTTTCGCGCGTCTCTTTCGCGGCTGCGCATGCGCTGTTTCTTCTTTCAGATTTGCGTGACGACAAGCGCCAAAACTCTAGTGATGGTGCCACACACTGGATATTGACATACACAGTAATTACGAATCACTTCAAATTAAGCCAGTAACCCATTTAATCATGACTTAAAGTTACTGTCATACACAACACGATCAGTTATTTCATTGTTTACTCTAATTATAGTGCTAATTATGTCTAATTTAAATCTAAATCTTCACTACATCAGCAAATCTCCTCAAAAACAACAATGAAGAATCAATCATGGACACCAGACTTGTGTGCTCCTCGGTATCTTCACAGTTCCTTTCTGGATGTTCTGGATCATCAGATCATTAATGTAATGAAGCTTCTTCTGTACAATAATATTTCACACAGATCCCATAGTCTTCTTCATGTTGGGAATATATTCAGATTAATACTGTTTTGGATCGGGTTAATATATCATGTTTTTTTTCAGATTATTGCTATCAAATGCTGTAATATTGTCTTTTACATCATCTACTTCATTACAAAAGTGCGGCATCAATTTATCCCCAAATTACAGTGTTTACACATATTAGAGAAACACAAAACCTTCTGCCATGTATAAAACTGACACTCTTGTCTTATTGAAACCCCCAAAACTTTGTTTCTTGTTGTCCTGCTTCAGTTTTAATAGGATATTTTTAACAGCTGAATATAACAAACAAATATAGTATTTTACAGCATCTCTTGTTGAACTGCACAAACTAGTGAACAATCAGAACACAATCAACTGGACATTAGTGAATAAAAGACACGAGCATGGCTTATAAAACACATTAAAGAGAAGTTATTCATTATTATTCACACTGTAAGAATTATCTGTGTGTCAAATATTAGTTTCTTCATCAGGAAATCAAGTCTTTCTCAAAGCATTTCAGCACAATGAGACCAACAACACAATATACTTGAACAAAACTGGCATGAAAACTTAACGGTGCTCAGAGTTATTGACTCATATTTTACAGCTTCTTCTTCAGCTGCACAAAACCTTCTGGTTATTATTACACCTGCAAATGCTGTAAATAACAAGCGATTCTGCCTAATTAAATCAGATGAACGTGTTAATGACCTATAAACACCTCACTGTGTCATCGGGAACATGAAGATTTCAGCAGCAGAAGGTTTACATTTATTAATATAATCATGAACTAATCAGACTCTTCTGTGCGGCAGATCAGAGCAGTTCAGTCTTTTAGATGCAGAAACCAGTAAATGAGTGTCAACATCAATAAGAGAATGTAGAAAGACAAACTAGCTTCTGTTATTGTTAAACTACACAGACTAGTGAACAATCTGAACACAAGATGAAGATCAGGAAACTAATTAAATCAATGTGCCTCATTCAGTCAGCTGTATATAATACACTGTATATTCCTGTCAAGTGTCTTAATCAGGATCAAGTGTTTCAGAACATTTCATCTGACAGAGATCAACTTTTGCTCTTCTCAAACAATGTTTCTGAATGAATTTGACATTTAAACTAGACGACGCTCACTGAGACCACTTACATTTCCTCATGTGTCTGAGAAAACTATCTAACCTTCTATAACTCTTCTGACATGGAGGACAGCAATACAGCCTCTCTCCAGTGTGAATTCGCTCGTGTCTTTTCAGCTCTGAAGACTGAATGAAACTCTTCTCACAATATGAGCACTTGTGACGTTTTTCTCCAGTGTGAATCCTCTGGTGGATTTTGAGATAATCAGCTGTAGTAAAGCTCTTCCCACACAGCAAACACTCATGATCTCTCTCGCCAGTGTGTGTTTTCTGGTGCCGTTTACAATGACCCAGTTGTGAAAATCTCTTTTCACAGAACAGACATGCATAAGGCTTCTCATTTGTGTGAATTCTCATGTGTCGTTTTAGACTTGTTGATGAGCTAAAATCATGACCACACTGAGTACAGGTAAACGGCTTTTCTCCAGTGTGAATTCGTTCATGTACTCTCAAGTTTCCTGATTGGCTGAAACTCTTTTCACAATATGAGCACTTGTAAGGTTTTTCTCCAGTGTGAATTCGTTCATGTGCTCTCAAGTGTCCTGATTGGCTGAAACTCTTTTCACAATATGAGCACTTGTAAGGTTTTTCTCCAGTGTGAATCCTCTGGTGGATTTTCAGATGATCAGCTCTAGTAAAACTCTTCCCACACTGCAAACACTCATGATCTCTCTTGTCTTCATGTGTTTTCTGGTGCTGTTTATAACTGTCCAGCTGTGAGAAACTCTTTCCACATTCAGTACAGGTGTACGGTTTCTCTCCAGCGTGAGTCTTTCTGTGTTTTTTCAGTTTGGATTTTCTTCTGAAACTCTTTCCACACTGACGACAGCTGTGCAGATGTGTTGTTTTAGTTCTCTGAGTCTCAAAGTTTCGTTTCTCGTCCTCTTCATTCAGTTCTTCTCTTTGCTCATTCTCCTCCATCTGGTCTGAAATAAAAATCAAGTCAGAATCAGTTTAAGTGAAGTCTGATTTAACAGCAGTAAACTACAGAGATCATCTTATAGGTGGTCGTCTAGAGCAGTGGTTCCCAACCTGGGGTCCGCGCCCCCCCAAGGGGGGCGCCAGAGTTTACAAGGGGGGCGCGGGAGAGGATAAGTGTTGAAGTAGAAAAAGGCATAAAAATGCTCCACTAATCAAAAATCCGATTTCGATTTCGGCTTCAAACGATTATAAAAAAGCATTAATCGAGATAAATGATTATTGCATCATATACCGCCACTTTCCAGTTGTACACGTGTTGCTCTTAAAAGCGCGAAAGAGCGCGTACTTATGTGTGTCAGAAGCATATACGGCCGGTCAGCATTCGCTCTCATTCACACACTGAGAGGAGCAGAGGAGCGCAGACATCTAAAGTCATCTTAACGTGAACGCTTTAATGGTCAAATAGGTGTCAAAACGCAGTGTTTAGTGATTATTCATATTAACCCTTATTTGTGTAATAAACAAACGAGTTGAGGATCAAAAGACGTGAAAGAGAAACTATTAAATAGACAGCGAGCTATAATCCTTCTGTCACCTGTTTTTATGATTATTAATCAAACAACGAGAAAACCCTCGCTGCTCTTGACTGAAGGACTGCTGTAGCTAAAGTGTTTTTCTTACAGTGAAGATGCTTAAAGCACAGTTTGTTTCATATTTTTATTCTATTGTATTTATTTCTCTTTCCTTTGCAGGGTGGCAAACCCTTTTCCTCCCCAATTTCTGTTTCATGGAAATATTTTTTTAACTTATTTCTGAACATAATAGTTTTGATATCTCGTTTCTAATTACTGATTTCTTTTATCTTTGCTATGATAACAGCACATAATATTTTACTAGATATTTCTCAAAATACAAGCATTCAGATTAAAGTGCAATTCAAAGGCTTAGTGTAATTAGGCAAGTCATTGTGTAACAGTTGTTTCTTCCGCAGACAATCAAAAATATATATTGCTTAAGGGGGCTAATAATATTGACCTTAAATTGGTTTCAAAATATTTAAAGCTGTCTTTATTCTAGCTAAAATTGACAAATGTCAAAAATGTTACTTCTTTTTTAGCACAAAGAGAGAAATGGACTATTGTCTGTTTTTAATATTATTTTTTGCTGTAATATTTGGTTACTGAGCAGCAATAAATAACACTTTAAAATACAAGGAGCTTTCATTTGATTTTCTAAACTAGTGGTGTTTAGAAATTAATGAATGCATAATAATCATGATAATAACCGTGAAACCCTGATTATTTCTCAGACTATAATCGTACTACCAAAATCTATAATCGTTGCATCCCTAAAATATAACCAGCAGAAACACTCTCAATTTTGCATAACACCACCCACAATCAGCTGTTGGGTGGACTAGAATGGCGTATTCCTACACTGAAAAAAATTATTCAAAGATGATTCCTTAGATTTACTCAATTTTTTTATGTTAAGAGGTTCTAAACAATTTATTTGTGTTGAATTTAAACAAACAAATTAAGTTAAACATTATTAAGCTTTATTTGTTTGTTTAAATTCAACACAAATAAATTGTTTGCAACAATTCTGCATGCAACACTTTTTTCAGTGTACACAGACTTCACGTATCTCTCCAAATTGCTCACGTTCGATTAAAAACCTGAAAAAGTGGGCGATATGGCATCCAAACCAGCCGAAAAAAGAAAGAAAAGAAAAGCAGAAGAAGAAAAAGCGAGCTCAAAGTAAAGGAATGTTCTGCTATGCATAATACATTATACAGTAGTGCGGTAAGAGGACTTGTTTTGATAAATGCAACAGTGCCCATAATTACAAAGAAACTTTTATTGATATGTGAGAATAAACAGGCCACATTCAGCATGTTTCATGAAATAGACAATTATTTATCTGTCCCACTAATTTACCCTGCTGGAAAAACAGGTTTCCCCCTCATTTAGTCAACAATTAATTTTACCCACTGTCCAACATCTAATGCAGAGTTCTGTTTGTGTAAATCTCTGTGTAAAAACAAGCTAAAATGTCTCCTGCATTTCTAGTTACTTATGCAAATATCTGTATGCTATTCATTTACAAAAATATGTTACATGCTAAATATGTTACAGGTGATAAGAATGTAAACACTAAAATATTAAACTTGTATGTTTTGTGCTTTCTTCTCACAGTTTTTACACCAATGGGCCCAATTTTATTTGAGAATTTCAACCCTACCGGCCGGCACTGGTTGCTGTATTGTAAGTGATATAGTTGTGTGTCACCTTGTAGTGATTATATAACCAAACTGGTAAATAAGATATCTGAACCAGAAACAACAAAAATAATCAGATTTACCAGTTTACCATGCTAGTGGATTACATGTCGTAGAGTTATAAGTAATGTTTAGTGTCATGCAGAGGTAAATGCACTCGTCATGTTCATTTCTCTGATTTGTGACTCTGTTATATTTTCAATCCCTGATATTTTCACTCATGTTGACAACAAACATTGACTTGTGTTATTTTAATAATCAGTTTCAGCTACAAATATTACTGTGAAGAAAAAAAATCACCTACATGATGAGCTGAGAGTAAATTTACAGCAGACTTTCATGGTTGGGTGAACTATCCCTTTAATTCCCTGCAAGTCCCTTTAATATACTTTATACTGACTTTAGTAACAGAACAGTATAAATTCCTTATTAATGTTTAAAGTGGGCTAACCGGCACGTTTTTGTGAAATATGACAAATTAACAGGATAATTGACGTATTCAGTTTATTAATACAAAAGTGATGCCATAGATCTATTGTTTTTATCAACACTATAAATACCTCTTTTTCCATGACGCTTCATGTTAGAAATGTGTCGACATCCATCAAAATCCTTCACAGCTTCGTCAATTAAACTTGAACACGTCCTGAAGCGAAGAGTCCAGCAAAACTAGCTGTCAGCACTTGTTGTTTTCGCGCGTCTCTTTCGCGGCTGCGCATGCGCTGTTTCTTCTTTCAGATTTGCGTGACGACAAGCGCCAAAACTCTAGTGATGGTGCCACACACTGGATATTGACATACACAGTAATTACGAATCACTTCAAATTAAGCCAGTAACCCATTTAATCATGACTTGAAGTTACTGTCATACACAACACGATCAGTTATTTCATTGTTTACTCTAATTATAGTGCTAATTATGTCCAGTTTAAATCTAAATCTTCACTACATCAGCAAATCTCCTCAAAAACAATGAAGAATCAATCATGGACACCAGACTTGTGTGCTCCTCGGTATCTTCACAGTTCATTCTGGATGTTCTGGATCATCAGATCATTAATGTAATGAAGCTTCTTCTGTACAATAATATTTCACACAGATCTCATAGTCTTCTTCATGTTGGGAATATATTCAGATTAATACTGTTTTGGATCGGGTTAATATATCATGTTATTTTTCAGATTGTTGCTATCAAATGCTGTAATATTGTCTTTTACATCATCTACTTCATTACAAAAGTGCGGCATCAATTTATCCCCAAATTACAGTGTTTACACATATTAGAGAAACACAAAACCTTCTGCCATGTGTAAAACTGACACTCTTGTCTTATTGAAACCCCCAAAACTTTTGATTCACAGTTTCTTGTTGTCCTGCTTCAGTTTTAATAGGATATTTTTAACAGCTGAATATAACAAACAAATATTTTACAGCATCTCTTGTTGAACTGCACAAACTAGTGAACAATCAGAACACAATCAAATGGACATTAGTGAATAAAAGACACGAGCATGGCTTATAAAACACATTAAAGAGAAGTTATTCATTATTATTCACACTGTAAGAGTTATCTGTGTGTCAAATATTAGTTTCTTCATCAGGAAATCAAGTCTTTCTCAAAGCATTTCAGCACAATGAGACCAACAACACAATATACTTGAACAAAACTGGCATGAAAACTTAACGGTGCTCAGAGTTATTGACTCATATTTTACAGCTTCTTCTTCAGCTGCACAAAACCTTCTGGTTATTATTACACCTGCAAATGCTGTAAATAACAAGCGATTCTGCCTAATTAAATCAGATATACGTGTTAATGACCTATAAACACCTCACTGTGTCATCGGGAACATGAAGATTTCAGCAGCAGAAGGTTTATATTTATTAATATAATCATGAACTAATCAGACTCTTCTGTGCGGCAGATCAGAGCAGTTCAGTCTTTTAGATGCAGAAACCAGTAAATGAGTGTCAACATCAATAAGAGAATGTAGAAAGACAAACTAGCTTCTGTTATTGTTAAACTACACAGACTAGTGAACAATCTGAACACAAGATGAAGATTAGGAAACGAATTAAATCAATGTGCCTCATTCAGTCAGCTGTATATAATACACTGTATATTCCTGTCAAGTGTCTTAATCAGGATCAAGTGTTTCAGAACATTTCATCTGACAGAGATCAACTTTTGCTCTTCTCAAACAATGTTTCTGAATAATTTTGACATCTCAACTAGACGACGCTCACTGAGACCACTTACATTTCCTCATGTGTCTGAGAAGACTTTCTGACCATCTAAAACTCTTCTGACATGGAGGACAGCAATACGGCTCCTCTCCAGTGTGAATTCGCTCGTGTTTTTTCAGATGTGAAGACTGAATGAAACTCTTCTCACAATATGAGCACTTGTGAGGTTTTTCTCCAGTGTGAATCATTTGGTGGATTTTCAGACTGCCAGATCTATTAAAGCTCTTCCCACAGTCGAAACACACATGATCTCTCTCATCAGTGTGTGTTTTCTGGTGCTGTTTACAATTATACAAATGTGAAAATCTCTTTTTGCAGAACAGACATGCATAAGGCTTCTCATTTGTGTGAATTCTCATGTGTAGTTTTAGACTTGATGATGTTCTAAAAGCATGACCACACTGAGTACAGGTAAACGGCTTCTCTCCAGTGTGAATTCGCTCGTGTCTTCTCAACGATCCTGAATAACTGAAACTCTTCTCACAATATGAGCACTTGTAAGGTTTTTCTCCAGTGTGAATCCTCTGGTGTCGTTTCAGATGACCAGCTGTAGTAAAGCTCTTCCCACACTGCAAACACTCATGATCTCTCTTGTCTTCATGTGTTTTCTGGTGCTGTTTATAACTGTCCAGCTGTGAGAAACTCTTTCCACATTCAGTACAGGTGTACGGTTTCTCTCCAGCGTGAGTCTTTCTGTGTTTTTTCAGCTTGGCTTTTCTTCTGAAACTCTTTCCACACTGACGACTGCTGTGCAGATGTGTTGTTTTAGTTCTCTGAGTCTCGAAGTTTCGTCTCTCGTCCTCTTCATTCAGTTCTTCTCTTTGCTCATTCTCCTCCATCTGGTCTGAAATAAAAATCAAGTCAGAATCAGTTCAAGTGAAGTCTGATCAGTGCCGGCCCATCCTACAGTCAATATAGGCGGTCACGTAGGGCCCCACGTTTCTTAGAGGGGCCCACAAACGCTGCTCTTATATTATATTGATTGTGAACGTAAGCACGAGGATGAGCGTGAACGTTAAAAGATTAAGCATCACGCAATGCACAAACCCTATTAAAGGCAAATGATTCATGTAGGAAATGATTTTCCCTCCCCACGTTCAGGATTCGCTTGAAAGTAGACGCAGAGAACTTAGATTTATCGAGTAATTAGGTTTAATAAAAAAGAGAATCAGATCAACAAATGTCTGAGCTCAGGAATACAAAACAGCCACAATGCATAAGGCACACTGGGCAGTCCAGTAGTGCCGTACAGTCATAAAACAGTAGTTTTTATTTTTGGTTGTCTCCTCCCCACTCTCGATGAGCCTCCAATCCATTATTTGCCTGCCCATCATCAGATCTCATCTCAGCCAGTTAGAATCTGCCAGCAGCCTGCACACACACACAGAGAATTTCCCTTCCCCAACACTTTTGCTTTCGTTTCTCTAGAAGAACCTCTTGTCTTACTTCTGTGGAAAAACCCCACCCTAGAAACGAAACTTAAGCAATAGGCACAACACTTCAAGCAATAAAAGCAAAACTTAATATCAACCTTAAACATACATTTAAAAACAAAAATATAATTCCACATAAAAATATAATTCCACAATTCCCTCTCTTGATCTCATAAGAGATCACACCATATCCAGCAGTTCCTCCACTTCCTCCATCACGTCATCCCCTTCGGCTGCAGCAAGGAGGGGCATCTGATAAGGAGGTGGGTTTTCCTTCTTTTCAATTGCAGTTATTATCAGCCTATTTATCAGACTTCTGATACAGGGAATGCAACAACATCCACATGTCACCAAAATTCCCAAGAAAATACCCATTGAAGTTAGCATAGCAATAATCACTCCCTTCCATTCCCCAAACATGTCAGACATCCATTTTGATACAGCGTTTTCTATCCCCGAGCTAGCCTTCATTTCATTTGACAATTCTTTTAGTCCCTCCAGGGCCCTGGATACGGAACCGTCAGGGGCAGTGTTGTTTGGTATGATGGTACAACAGGTGTCCTGAAACATGGAACAAACCCCGCCCCTTTCTGATAGTAACATGTCTAAAGCTAGCCGATTTTGAATAGTCATCAGAGAGGTAGCCGCCAATTGTTCCTTTAGCCCAGACACAGCATCTCTAGTGAGGTTTGATAGTCTCTGCACGTTGTAATGTATGTAATTTATTCTGTCTACATTTTTATTTGGGGTCACTGGGAATACTGCTGCTATCACAGGTATATTTTCAATCCCTGCTGCTACTTGGTCAGCCAATTTATATTCATCTGGAACTCCCCTGGGGATGCCTATTGCGTCTATGTAGGTGGGGCTATTGCGTGTTAGATCAAAATCACTATTTACTGACCTTCTTCGCCTCTTTTTATGCCCATCGACAGCCCTATTTCCTATCATTACCATAGGAACAGCAACTCTTATCATGGCACACACTCCCTCCATTGTGGGTTCTATTCTAGCCAATATCACCTTTTCTCCACACGCGTAATACAAACCCACTCTGCCCCATCCCCCTAGTTTGCCATGACCTTCCTGAATCACCTGTCCACACCATTCCCTTTTAAACGCTCCCACTAATATTTTGGACGCACTGGAGGTAGTTAAATTGAAACAGGTATAATTGCCCTTTCTTCTTATCAATGAGACTCCCATAGATGATTCATTTCCAGTTGGGGGGTACAGTTTACTGAATACAGTACAGTTTGTGGGATTTTTCTCTTTGGTTAGTTTTAACATACACTCGTACCCCCAGCTATCATGATCATGTAATGTGGCGGGTTCAGTATTTAACTGTGGCCTTCCTGCTGCACAAGCTAGGCACCCCTCAAACCCTAATTCCTCAGCTGCGCTTGTTACCCATTCTAACCATAAGTTTGTTTCGTGATAGCCTGTCTCCAGTGTCATCAGATCAAGTGGAGTCAATCTGCTATAATCAGTGCTCTGTATTACTTTCTTCTTCTCTTTGGTTAGGTCTGTGATTATTGGCGCCCCTGTGGTTTCAGGCTTTTTAATGGAAATTTTTATCAATCCCAGCGGGTCTTTTCCTGTTACGTCTACCCCTAGAGTGATGTATGTGTCAGTTTTATCATTGCCATTTTTTAGTGATATAATCAACGTGTTTTTCCAGCCTCCCCAACCATGTTGATACCCCCTAAACAACCTAAGTCGATTTTGGATGCTGTCTGCCTTGGCTAAAGGACTATTTTTCAAAAGATTTTTAGTGAATCCTGGAGCTGTTTTCCAATTTACATCATGCCAAGTATGACACCAGGGACCGTTTGGAGGCATGGTGGTAGTGGGCCACAAACACCCATACACATCATACCCTCTCCATGCCAATTGGTCCTTCCCACAATCTATCACTTGACAAAGATCAAACTGCCACATCCCATCCTTTCCCTTTTCCCTTTCTAAGGTGATACGCACCCCTGTTCCCCCCCCTTCTTTTACACTCCGTTTTTCCTTTGTTGTCCCTCCGAATTCCATATGGCAGATTACCCATAGGATTACCACCAACATTACTCCCCAGGCCACCACCAATTTGTTTATTTTATTCATTTTGTTAGGAGAATTACCTGAATGTGGCCCTCTTTAAATACTTTCTCAATTATTTCTTTTACTTTGGTGTAGTCTAATTTGTCTAATCCACACCCTAATTTTGGTATCGCCAATATTTTGTTCTGATCCCTCTTACACTGGTAACACAATTTTGCCAAACTAGCCTCAAGATGCTCGTAGGTGGGTAGGTCCCTACACCACCACTTGGTTACTAGATGGTAAATTTGTCGTGGACCGTGTGTAGTTTTGATACAGTCCCCTGGTTGGGCGACTGTAGTGTCCAATTCTTCTACACCGTACTTGTCTCTAATTTGTTTAGCTACCCCAGCTCCCAGTGCATAATCAGCACTTATACAATGTGCAATGGGAATGTGTTCTGGTGTCTGAAGCAGGTCTCCAGTTCTTTGTAGGATTTTAAATACAGGAGTTGCGCTTAGCTGTGTTCTGTGGTTTTCTGTGTCTGGTTGTCCGCTTGCTTCCCCGCCTTCTCCCTCTCTTTCTGGCTCCTCAGTGCGTTCCTTAGTGCCAGTGCCACTGCCAGTGCCACTGCCTCCCTCTCTTTGACCTCTCCTGAGGTCAACTCTGACATCCGCCAAAGTCCTGTCTGGAGAAGGGCAGAACATACAAGCAGACAAATGATACCATGTTGTGCCTTTACCTGCTAATTGCACACAATGGGATGTCCTAGCCGTGACTCGTAATGGTTCTGACCACCTTGGGCTAGACCATTTTCGTTTGTGTTGTTTCAGTCTCACCCACAGTGTTGTGTTTTCTGCAGGCCTAGCTGCTTCACTCTCTGTTGGCCAATTTTTCTGCGGAGAGAACATGTTAATCACAGCACATACTTTGTCATGATATATTTGTGGTGAGTCAGTGTCCCCACCATGCAACGGTGCCCATGGGCCTGGGAATTGTCTCCCTGTTGCTAATTCAAATGGAGTGAACCCTGTAGTTCGATTAATAGAACATCGTACTGACATTAGTGCAATGGGAAGTGCATCTACCCAATTCAATTTGGAGTTGTGACAAATTTTAGCCAGCTTGTTTTTTAGTGTTAGATTAAGGCGCTCTACCTTTCCCTGACTTTGTGGGTGGTATACAGCTCCATACCGATGTTTTAAACCTAACATTTTTTCTACATCCGCCAAATGTTCATTCTTGAAGTGAGTGCCATTGTCTGACCTAATTGAACGAGGGAACCCATGTCTTGGAATGTATTGGTTGATTAAACATTTTACCACAGAGACTGCATCTTCTCTGGCGCATGGGAAAGCCTCTGGCCAACCAGTGAATTGGTCTACCAGAACCAGCAGATACCTTTTTCCGTTCACTCTACTAATCATGTCAGTGAAATCCATGACCACCGTACACCCTGGACCCCTATCTGTGGGGAAATGCCCTGCAGTGGGTTTGGAGGTTGGCTTGACATTGAACTCTGCACATGTTTGAAAAGAGGCTATTACTCCGCTTATCATGTGTGGCATGAAGGGGTGCCACCATTGGGACACTCGTTTAGTCATGTCCTTCTCACTGCTGTGAGCCAGAGAGTGGGCTTCTGTCAGGACTTTTTCTGCTAAACTTGCAGGCATAATTGGTCTACCAGTAGGGCCAACCCATAGTCCTGTCTGGGAATCTTTTCTTCCTCCCTTTTCTAACCATACTGAAATTTCCTCAGCTGCAGCCAAACTTTGTTCTTTAGATAAAAAACTTGTGGTCAGATGTCCGTCAATTTGATTTAGCTCGTCAACTGCAGTTACAGTCATCTGCAATGGTTTGTACCCTGCCACCCTTTTAGCAGCAGCATCTGCGGCCTCGTTTCCTAATGAAACAGGATCTTTTCCTTTGGTGTGGGCTGCACACTTAATTATTGCTACCTCACGTGGCAACATAATTGACTCTAACAAATCAGAAGCTTCTTGTGCATGTTTTATGGGTTTCCCAGAAGATGTTACAAACCCCACCCTTGCCCAACCAGTCAGTTCAGATGTGGCTGCCCCTACTGCATATGCTGAGTCTGAATAGATATTTACAGTTTTATCCTTGGCCATGTGCAAGGCTCTCACAAGGGCCAATAACTCTGCTCGCTGTGCTGATGGTCTGTCTTGCAACACCTGCTGTTCCTTTACTTCATACCCCTTATCAGTTTGCTCCACAATGGCGTAACTGGCTACAAGCCTGCCTGAATCAGTTTTAAAACAGCAACCATCACAGAACAGAGTTAGCTGGGGGTTATTTAATGGAATGCTGCTCAAACCTGGTCTTATCTGTTCTTCTGCTTCTGCCCTGGGGATACATTCGTGTGGTTCACCTTCTCCTGCATGAGCCATGTTTACCCCTTGGTGTTCATAAGTGATGTGTGGGGCGGTCAGTATTCTAATTAGCTTGTTCTGTCTTTGTGCAGAAAAAGTAAATGCAGATGAATGTAAGACAAATATTCTGATATCTTTGACAATTCAAAACATGAGCTGAAAACAGAGACTGGTGACTTCACAACCCACCAGGGAGGAATGCGGGAAAAACCAGTTCCTGCTGCATTTGCATCTGACTATGCTGAGACTCAGCTTCATCCCCCAACTCACGCATATGGTCATTTCAATGTTTGAATGTTTTAGATTAACCAAACTGACTTTAATTATCATGTTTGATATCATTTGAAATGTCTCAGTGTGATTGGTACAATGGTCTCATTCTCTCAGAAATAGACATAATCAGAACAATAAATATATAACTTCAGGCATCTTTTGATCCACTGTGAGGGGTGTGACACTAAGTGTGAATGCCTTTTGTTATACATTCACACCCCCTTCCTTGAGGGAATTCTTGGATTATTTAAGGTAAGGCCTAAGAAGGACTCAGGGCGATTCTGCCTAACCAGATCAGCCCATAACATGGCTAGCTCCATGTTATGTATATTTCAAAGTCAGGAATGCATCTTTTTCATCTTGGACTTATCTTTGATAATTTGATGTTTTGTATTGATCATTTATGAATTGACTGATTGAATTGGCATAATACATTTACCTGACTAATAAATTGTTATGTTTTGAATGATTCAAACAGAGTTCGTGTTATTATCACTGATAAATGTTGTTGTCCATAGCACTACAAGCCACTGTACAGGTTAGTAACGGACTAAAACATGTTAGACGGAGCAGCGTGGCACGCTATTCAATGTTGTTAGAGATCCGACTAACAAATTGGCATTATTTCATGTATACTTGGACTGTAAAAGGCCAACTATTTAGAACAACAAAATATTGTTGAAACTACTTTAAATGTGGATATTTAGGCCTTCATCTACAATAGTATAATCCTGCGCGATTATTATTAAAATACTTTGTCTTGATTAAGTAGATAACAGATCCATGGGGACCACATAAAAATCTCCTAAATTGAGTAAGTAGGGTTCTGCCTTTTTAGGAGAGTGGTTAATCGCCTCTGTTTAATGACCAAGACTGACAAGCTTGTATTAAGAGATTGTATACTCGGCCGGTGCAAGACTCGAGATGCTATCGGAATCTGAGTAAATGAAAATAAGGTATAATAACAAAATAAAAGAATATTCAATCATAATCTAAAATAATGTGAAAGGAAACAAAATAATCTTATCAATGTTTTATAATTGGAGTCAGATAAAACGAGGATAAACATATTAATATTCTAAACCATCTCATACTAAAATTGGAGTCAGATATGAGTTAAGTTTAATATAAATCAACATTGTGCACTGGAAAGACCGAACATGCAGTGAACCTTCATCCACCATTGGATACCGTCATTGGACCAACTGGCTGGACCCTACAAAATGGTGACCCATCTCCGTGATCTCCCAACTCAGGCGAGTTACGTCTTTCCAGCACAAAATGGATTTATACCAAGCAAGAGGTTTGGATCTTCTATTCTATCTTCAGCTGCTGTGGTAAGTCAATTCTTCTTTGCCTATTAGAAATGTTGAGGGAAAGCTAGACGCACCCTTTATGAACACATTGATAGAATGAGTCGGAAATGCTCAAAAATGTTAGACCGGAATGCGCTATCCGGTGGGGTTGAGAATTAGACAAAACCACCTTGATTATCAGGGACATGATAGCAGCAGTATAGATAAATGCCATCCCTTGCTCTGAAATCTCTTTGTCTGCTAGGCAGCAAGAGTTGAAGCTTAAAATTGGAATAACATCATCCAAATTATATTCTGGGACTCAGTGGAGAGTTATAAAGTAGATCCTAAAAGTTTAAATCAAAAACTATCCATTGTTTTAAATCTACTGTTTTATAAAAAAGAGAAAAATGGAAAAAAGGAAAACAGGAAAAAATGGTTTAAGATTTAAAAACAATTGTAAACTTTTAAATTGGATTAATAACAACAGTCTGTTTAAAGGCATTTGCATGTGAAAAATAAAGGTGAGCAGAACAGAATGATTTGATTGCAAAAAAGACAAATAAGCTCTAATGAAAACTCTGCCTTTACAAATCATAAATTTGCCATTTAAATTTAATGGGGATAAATTCAAATAGGATGCTGATCAACTACACTGTAATCCCGAAAAAGTTGACAAAACTCAAAAACATTTGAGGATACTCATGCAAGACACTTCAACTAACTTAAAATACCCAAGTTACTCAACTTATCAATTAACTTAATTATTTTAATTTTTCCAAACTTTAAATACTTAGTCACCCAGCTCATACATTTTAATACCAATTAACTTAATTGCTTTAATTTCTTTCAACTTTAAATACTTAAATCACCCAGCTGATAGCATTTTTTAAAGATTACATTTTTTCAAACTCAAAAATAAGAAAAAGTTCTGAATACTCATTAAGGTTAATTAAGATAAACGAATTTTAAGGATTTAAGTTAATAGAGCTCAATTCAATTAATTAGTTACAGCATTAGGGTTTACAGTGTAAAATATCCACTATACTTTAATTTAATCTCAAAACAGACTAAATATAAAAGAAATTCTAAGATTTTAACTTTAAATCAGCCCTTAGACCTCCTGATGGCTCAAACCTTTTCATATTCAAATGTCCTGACAGAGAGCAGAGAAATCTCACCTCAGTGATAATAAGATGCTCAGAATGTGTTTGCTGTATTTGCATAAAACAATAACATTATTCCATTTGGCCACAAGCCTTTGCTGACCCTTTTGTTCTCCATGCAACTTACAAGCAAACACAACCCTGATCACAAGATAAAAGCATTAAGCTAAAATGCACTGTTGTTCTAAAAACACTCTCCAGAGACCAGATATAATTAAATTTTAATATTTACTATTTTAATATAATATAATTACATTAGGAATAAACAATAATGAACATTATATTATAATCGCCAATCATGGCACTAAAGACCAAGGGTGAAACATTCACCTTGAGGAGGTTTGCTTTCTTTATGCTTAATGAAAACACTGACAGAACTACTATAGCATAACTGATTGTAAACCAATAAAATCCTCGCTGAAAAACACCACCTACAATTAAAATTTGATCAGAGAATTAAACTCACCAGAAAAATAATGAAAGGGGGATGGATATGATAACATTCAGAGTTACCAAAGTTTTTATGGGTCAAAAGATCTAACCTGTGAGTCACACCATAAAATGACAACCGTTAAGCAGAGAACACCAAAAGGGTGAAATGATTTCTGCCAACAGATCTGACTGTTAATGAGAGCAAAAAATGAACTATGGGTATCGGCCCATTAGATTGTGAACTGAAATTAATGAAAAATCATTGATTGATTCAGAAAAATGTCCCCAGCGGAACTGGGAGATAATGCTCAGAATACAGCAGACTGTGTAAACAGGTGTAACACACTCACAATATGCTGAAATCAACAACAGCAATTCACATCTGACCAGCAACATCATGTGGCTTCCAGAATTAATATTGCAAGATGATGCATTAACATTAATTCCACATGATTGAATTTGAAACTGATGAAAATTCTAAAAATGGTTCTCTCTGCTTTTGTTCTCATCTTAGGCGGACCAATAACAAAGAACACTCCAGATCCGGTCCACATCAAACAAATACAAATGAGGGCAACAAAAGGTTAGGCCATAACCTGAGGCCAAAAGTCTCCCATCTTGCATCTCAAAGCAAGAACCCCTGTGGTGCTAACACCTCACCTGCAGTGAGTCCTCTGAAAAAAGTCTTTGATCAGTCATCAGAATAACAATTATCCACAGCTGATCTTATCAATGGATTCAGCATTCTAGGAGGCTTTGTGATTTCACAAAACATCTTTCTTCAACAAAGATGTAAATTTACATGTTAAATGAAACAGAGACACAAAAAGATCTCATAGTTAAAATCTTCCCAAATTGTTTAATAGCAATGGGACTAAAAGCCTGGTTACCTAGAGGCAAAAATAAACTTCAATGCATTATCCTTGCAAGAACAATAGCAAAAGACTCTATTGTTAAGAATCCTGGTGGCATTTTTAAATTTGTTTTTATACTATACACATGTTAAACCACATGTCCTGTATGAAAATGGAATTAACTATGTTGAAATTCATGATATTTGTTTCTTTGATCTCCAAAAGTAGAAAACTCTGCTATCCCCTGTATAGCTGCAGTTTGAACTACAAACAGGAGTATAGAGTGTGATAATTAAATTAACCATGAAAATGCATTTTTTACAGGATTCAGCTTTGAACATTGCACCTTAACATGCTCCGTAAAAGATATTATATGGAATCAATTTGAGCCGGAACACACCTCATGTTCACATTCTTATGCTGGCTCCCTGCTAAGACAGGACTAAAATTTTGCAACACAATTATAAAAGTTGATTACCATTGTTCGGAGCATTACACTGACACATAGCCACAGGTAAACCCAGGCACATAGATAACACCTTAGTCTTCAAAGACCCAGGAGTCAAATCTCTTTAGTTAAGATCTTTTGTCCATGTTTATACAAACAAAACACATTAGCCTCACACACATAGAACAGAATAATTAATCTGATGACAGACGAGACAACAAACACCCTCTGACACCCTCTGTCAGCTGAAAAGAAATTACACATTTGCATGGCTTTGACAACAAATTGATGGTATAAAACTTCAATAGAGGCGAACTTGCCATAGATACACTGACTGTTGTGGGGATGGTTGACAAATCAGAGGGCCCCTGGTTTTCCAATCTATCACCAATAACAGGTATAAGTGCTAAAGTGATTAAAATTAAACCGAAGTGAGGACACTTCTAATAATCACTAGGACATTTAAATTTGACAAATACCATCAATTGTGTTCAAGCCCCCCCACACACACATAAACACACACACACACACACACACACACAAACACACACACACACACACACACACACACACACACACACACACACACACACACACACACACACACACACACAATACAACACAACATACACACACAAACACACACATTATTATAGATATACCTTCATAATTATGGTTGAATAATGTGATTACTATCATGTATGACAAATATCTTCAC